GCTCTAACGGTCAGGAAGTTCTTCCTAATGTTTGGCCGAAAACTCTTCGGATTTTGACTTGGACCGTAACAGATAAGGAAAATGGCACTCACTTGGGAGGGGAGTCTGGATCCCTATCTCCGTGTGCTCCACAGTCGCAGTCTGAATAAGGCACCGTGTGCATGGGAATTGGGGGAGGGCCTGCAAGTCACTTGTTGGGACTGTTAGACAGGCCTCTGGGCTGAGACCCCAGACTCTGTAATTTGTGCATCGGCATGCATTTGTGTATTTATATCCCACGTTCCACACCAGTTGGGACTCAAAGCAGCTTGGAACACTGTTCTACCTTCTCCTGTTTTCTCACAACGATGACCTCGTGAGGTAGGTCAGGCTGGAAGTGTGTGAGAGGTTCAAGGTCACCCGGAGAGCTTCCATGGTAGAAGTGGGGATTTGAACTCAGGACCCCTAGGATCCTAGTCCACCACGTTACCACTACACCATGCCAGCTCTCTCTGTGTGAAAAGACAGTCCTCGGGAGCCATTATTTGCCCTCTTAGGGAAATGTAGATATACAGTTCAGCACAGAACTCCCCGCTTAGGGTTGCTAGGACTTACCTGTCTGTCGGTGGGGGGCTCTCGTTGCCCTGGAGTTTTTGGCGTGTGCGCCACGATGACATCACCCAGAAGTGATGTCATCATGCAGGGCACGTTGGAGGGGGAACGCTCTATCGTTTGAGGAAAAACTCTATGGTGATCATAGTTTTTTCTCAAACGCTAGAGTGTCCCCCTCACAACGTGCCCTACACGAACCCGGAGAGCTTCCATGGTAGAAGTGGGGATTTGAACTCAGAACCCCCAGGATCCTAGTCCACCACGTTACCGCTACACCATGCCAGCACTCTCTGTGTGAAAAGGCAGTCCTCGGGAGCCATTATTTGCCCTCTTAGGGAAATGTAGATATACAGTTCAGCACAGAACTCCCCGCTTAGGGTTGCTAGGACTTACCTGTCTGTCGGTGGGGGGCTCTCGTTGCCCTGGAGTTTTTGGCGTGTGCGCCACGATGACATCACCCAGAAGTGATGTCATCATGCAGGGCACGTTGGAGGGGGAACGCTCTATCGTTTGAGGAAAAACTCGATGGTGATCATAGTTTTCCCTCAAACGCTAGAGTGTCCCCCTCTCAACGTGCCCGACACGATGATGTCACCTCCAGACACACTGGCGTGGATGGGGTTCTTTGGGGGCAGGGTTTCCCCCACCGGCTGGCTTGGTGGCAGCGGATTGGGCCCCCCCCCGAAAGCGAGTAAACCCCCACCCCCGTCAGGGGAATGGCAGCCCTATCCCAGCTCTTGAGGTGGACCCATAAACAATGTCTTGTTTAATTGGGCTGTTTTCGCCTGTTGCATTCCTTCCATATTGCAGATTGGAAGACAATCGTTTTGGGAGCCAGGCCAAAGAAAGGTGATGCAATAGGAGACATGTGACCAAGGGGTCTGTGAGTTAGTGGACCACAGAGGCTGTAGATGAAGTCAAAATGTAGAGAGGAAAGGAGAAACCAACGGGGGAAACATGAGCGGAGTATGAAGAAGATCAATCATGCAGAAACTCTGGAATAATCCTGGCTGGAGTCCCAAAAATGTTTAGGACTGAGGTTGGGTCTGGCCAAGCAGGGATTATATGTTGGTCCCAGCCAATCAGGTCTCGGGATATATTACAAGCTGGCCAGGAAAGTCCGCTTGCGTTGCGAGGGTGAGAGTCCTGATCCGGTGGCAGAGCAACTGCTTAGAGAGAAGTGCTAGAATCGATGACTTGCAGGAAGGGAAATGAAATGGGGACGAAGGAGGGTTCGGTTCCTCTGTGCCCCTTTAGATGTAAGAATTGGACCTCTTCCCGTTGTGGCTGCCCTGTCATGTCAAGTCCGGGCCAGAGTGCGGCAACTCTGACACAAACGCCAAAGGAGAGAGAAGTGAATGTTCAGTACTCCCCAGAGCCCCTTGTCTTGCCTTGTGGCTAGCCAAAGTGTTTCTCAAAATAAACACACCATTTTTGGAATGCAAACGCTGGTTTGCCATGGGACTAAACTGGCAGCACTTTTGCACACACTGAATAATGCACTTCCAGTCCACATCCAATGCACTCTAGGGATCGTTTCCAAGAGGATTTTGTCATTCCACACAGTAAAACCCAATTGCAAAGTTCAGTGAAACTGGATTGAAGGAGCATTATTCAGCGTGTGTGAAAGTGCCTTTGATTGTGTGTGTGCGCGTGCGTTTGTGTGTGGCATGTGTACATGTACAGTTCCACATATTTCATTTCCAGAGGTCTTGAATTATGAAGGCTATGTAAGACTCACATCTCTGCCCGTTGGAATTCTGGCAAATTCAGGTAGCTTTGGTAGTTGGCTTCAGCCAAAAGAACCAAGAATCTTGTGGCGCCAGAAAGAATAGTGGCTGTACTTGTGGCAGAAGCTTTTGTCAGTCAGAGTTCCCTTTGTCAGATGTGACAAAGTCAGCTTTGACTCACAAATGCTTCACAATATGTTCATGAGTCATTCCATGCCGCAGGAATCTTTGTCGTTCTGTCTTCCGTTGACAGCCTTCTTTCCTTCCCCACAGAGCAGCCATAAGTGTATGAGGAGTTGTGGTGATTTGTGTGTGTGTGTTTTTAATCCAGAGTCCCCGCTGCTGGCTTCACTGGACGCTCTCTTCAGCCCTGGCCGAGAACCTCCAAAGGAGGAGCGGGAGGAAGGGCAGGTAAGTGACATGTACCGGACCCGGTCTTGGCAAAGCCGTTGGATTTTCCAAAGCCTTGATTGGCTGACAGCCACACTTCCTGTTTCTGAGTCAAAAACAGGAAGTGGGGGTTGGCGGGAGTTCCCTTGAGTCCATGGGAAAACACGGCAGAGTCCATTTGTCCAAGCAGTGAGCAGCCAAAGGGCAGAGGTCAGAAATAGCCTTGGCACTGACCGGCCACGTTCTGGCCGTCTGCCCTGCCCCTGAAGTAGAGAATAAATACTGGAAACTAGCAAGGGAGTCTCTTTAGGGGTTAGCTGTTGACTGGAACAATGACTAAAATGTTTTCGCTTCTATATTATTTCTCTGCCTTTTTTGCTGTTAGTTTTGTGTATATGACGTATGCAGGTTGTACTTGCATATGTTTAATAATGCAGATACACAACGCTGAAAATGCAGTTGTTTTATGGGAGGGATGTGGTGCAAGAAATGGTGTGAAGGAGAGTCATGGGCTGTGTTTGCATTAGTAAAGGTAAAGGTCTCCCTCGCTCGAAAGCCAGTCGAGTCCGACTCTAGAGTTGCGGTGCTCATCTCCGTTTCAAAGCTGAAGAGCCAGCGCTGTCCGAAGACGTTTCCGTGGTCATGTGGCCGGCATGACTAAACACCAAGGCTCACGGAACGCTGTTCCCTTCCCACCGAAGTGGTCCCTATTTATCTACTAGAGGGATTTGGGGTTTGAAAGCAACAGGGTTGAGAGATTAAAAAGCATTCCTGTCAGAGCCTGTGTCCTCCGTACGGTTCCCAGGTCTGGGCTGGAAAATACCTGGAGACTTTGAGGGTGGATCCGGGAGAAGGCGTGGTTTGGGGAGGGGAGGGGCCTCAGCATGGCACCGTGCCACAGAGTCCGCCCTTCAAAGCAGCCATTTTCTCCAGGGGAGCCGATCTCTGTCAGTTGGAGATCAGCTGTCAAAGTGGGAGATCTCCAGGCCCCACCTGGAGGCTGGCAACCCCAGTCCTCCGTAGGGTTGCCAACCTCCAGGTGAGGCCTGGAGATCTCCCATTTTTTTACAGCTGATCTCCAGACGACAGAGATCGGTTTCCTTGGAGAAAATGGCTGCTTTGGAGGGTGGACTTTATGGCCCCTCACCAAACCCTGCCCTCCCCAGTCTCCACCCCCAAACCCAAGAATTCCCCAACGCAGAGTTGGCAGTCCTAGGGACTCTTCCGTTTTGGGGAACACCTTTTCCTTTTCTCTGGCTCCCTCAAGACCTGCTTCTTCGATAGAACTTTCCTAAATTGCTTGTCTTGCCGGGCTTGCCAGCTGGCCAGGAAACATTGGTTCGGCTTGCTGTCGCTTCTGAAACTTTTTGTGGCGTGGAAGGAAAAACACTTTCCCCTTCTTGCTTCATCAAGTTGCAGTGCTGTCAAAGGGACACCGCCATAGGGGCCAGGTTGATAGTTGCCAGTCCACTAGGGTTGCCAAGTGTGGATGTGGCGCGCAGCGAGGGACTCCCGGCTGCCGGCTGGAGCGCCGCATCCACGTCACCCAGAAGTGACGCGGGCACGCCAGGCACGCTGGGGGCGGGGGCACGACCATCCGAGGGAAAACCATAGAGTTTTCCCTCGGATGACCGTGGCCCTGCCCC